TGGTTACCCTGCATATATATTGACTTTGGTTTCCTCTGGCCACCTCACACATGGATATTTTGATTTTGGAAACCTCTGGTCATCTTTACATAGATATGACTTCAAATGGTAGATCCTGTCATCCTACATAGATTGAATTTGGTTACTTCTTGTCACCTTACACATATGTTGAATTGTTTTACCTATGACCACCATACACATTCAGTTATTGACTTTGGTTACGTCTGGTCACCTTACACAAAAAAACAACTGCGGTTACCTGTAGTCACTATATAGATGCATATATTGAATTTGGTTACCTATGGTCACCTCAAACAGATATTGATTTTGGTTGCCTCTATTTTCCTTATCGTATATTGACTTTGGTTACCTCTGAACACCTCACACAGATATAAACCTTGGTTACCTCTATTCACCTTACATATATATTGGATTTACTTACCTCTGGTCACCTAACATTGATACTGACTTTAGTTAACTAAGTCACTTTACATATATATTGACTTTGGTTACCTCTGTTCACCATGCAAAGATATTGAAAAAGTAAAACAAAAATATTGAACTCCAATGTAAATTTAAAAGGTAAAGTTCGTGAAAACCGACAAATTCAAACGCTATCAATCAACGAAACAAGTGGACAACAAATGATATATTTCTGACTTGGTACAGGCATTTTCTTCCGAAGAAAATGGTGGGTTTAACCTGACTTACTGCATGTGTGTGGTGACCTTGTGGTTAGCCGTGGTTACCTCTGGTCACCCTACATAGATATTGACTTTGGTTACTTCTGGTCAACTTACACAGATGTTGATTTTGGTTACCTCTGGTCACCTCATTCATGGAGATTCTGACTTTGTTACCTCTGGTCACGTAACACATATATTTACTTTTTTTTCCTCTGACCACCGTGCACATGCAGATATTGGCCTTGTTTATCTTTACATGTTTGGTCACCTTACATAGATATTGACTTTGGTTACCACTGATCACCTTACATATATCTAATTTGCTATTATATTTCAGAAAGTATAAACATTTCATATTTATTTTTTCGATATATATGTATAATTTCACATATAAAAGTTTTATGCAAAATTTTATAAAATTCCGTTGGACCATCCATTTTTACGTACCTGTTACCTTAATAGATAAGATAGCCTTCACATTTTAAACTTCCAGCAAAAGACACATTGATCTATTTACAGCATCATTTTGTTTTATATTAGCTGGATCCGTTTAATAAAAAATACTGACCAAAAGGCAAAGGCATAGGATATTTTTCATGGTTTTTTATGACCATACCACTACCTATTAAATGCATATTTTCTTATTTAAAAAAACATTGAAATTGTACAAAATAGACATAACTTTGTTTATCTGAAATAATGCAGCCACCAAATGTGTAGTAGGTGTAATTTAAATCAATTACACTTATTTCTCTATCTATGATCTTCAATATTTGCCACTTTTTACACACAAAAAAACAGAACTAGGACATAGGTGCACAGAATCAGGACATTTTTTTTCTTCTTAAAATCAGGACACTATCAGAACATCTATAACGAAGCTGATTTGATAGTACAATAAAAATTCATTACGTAATTACAGTTTTTAGAATGTTCAAAAACTTCAAATGTTCAATTGTTTGAAAGTTCACAGATTGTCTCACGGACACGTATTTGTATAGTGGTATTTTTCGGTCCTGACTAGAATGAATTCTGGCGCTGAATGAATTCCAGCCTACCGACGAGGGGAGAGACCTAGCGTAATCTTATCGGTCTTTTTCTATCCTAGTATATCCTAGTGCTCATGGCATTGTACAAGGTTATTAAACGTCCACAGGATACATGTACTAGCTTATATTTTAGGTTCCGTGTTTCGGACAAGATTATTATTTTCCCGCAGGGCATAATCACTTAAGTTTTATAGATGGTCACTTCTGTAATTGTTTTATTCACTTTACGATAAAGTGTCCAAAGGTTATTGTATTACGATTGTCAAAATAGTTGTAACACCACCTTCATAGTCTGTTAATGCATTACACATTTGTCGTTATGTAATTGAATAATGTTCTAACCCGCATTGTGTTACACATCTGTGTAAGGTAACGAGAGGTAACCAAGGTGCATATCTGTGTAAAGTGACCAGAGGTAACAAAAGTCAACATCAGTGTAAGTAAGGTGACCATAGGTAACCAAAGTCAAGATCTATGTAAGGTGACAATAAGTAAGCGTAGTCAATATTGTTGTAAGGTGACCAGATGTAACCAAAGATAATATATGTGTCAGGTGACCAAGGGTAGCCATTGTCAAAATCTGTGTTAGGTGACCAGAGATAACCAAATTGAATAGCTGTGTAATGTGACCAGAACATCATTGTAAGGTGACCAGAGGTAACCATAGTCATATCTGTGGAAGGTGACCAGCGGTAACCAAAGTAAATATCTGTGTTAGGTAAAAATGTAACCAAAGTGAATATATGTATTACGTTATCAAAGGTAACCAAATTGAAAAATTATTGTGTAATGTGACCAGAGCATTATTGTAAGGTGAACAGATGTAAACATAGTCAATAGCTTTGCAAGGTGACCAGAGATAACCAAATTGAATATATGTGTAAGATGAACAGAACATCATTGTAAGATGACCAGAGGTAACCAAAGTCAATATATGTATAAGGTGACCAGAGTTAACGATCGTAAATATCTGTGTATGGTGACCAGATTAACCAACGTCAGTATATGTGTTAGGTGACCAGAGTTAACCAAATTGAATAATTTGGTAATGTGACCAGAGCATTATTTTTAGATGACCACAGCTAAACATAGTGAATATCTGTGTAAGATGACCAGATGTAACCAACGTCAATATATGTGTAAGACGACCACAGGTAACCAAATTAAATATCTGTGTAATGTGACCAGAACATTATTGTAAGGTGACCAGAGGTAACCATAGTCAATATCTGTGCAAGGTGACCAGAGGTAACTAAAGTGAATATCTGTGTACGGCGAACAGAGTTAATCAAAGTGTATATATGTGTAAGATGATCGATCAGAGGCAACCAACGTTAATGTTAGTGTAAGGTGACCAGAGGAAACCAAATTGAATAATTATGTAAGATGACCAGAACATCAGTGTAAGGTGACCAGAGGTAAACATAGTCAATATCCCTGCAAGGTGAGCAGAGGTAACCAAATTAGATATATGTGTAAGGCGACCACGGGTTACCAAAACAACAATCTTTGTTAGGCGACCATGGGTAACCAAAATCAACATATGTGTAATTATGGTGAACAGAGGTAACCAAAGTCAATATATGTCTAAAAAGAACACAGGGAACAAGAGTTAATATTTTTGTAAAGAGAACAAAGGGAGCCATGTCTGTGTTAGGTGACCAGAGCTAACCAAAGTCAATATCAGTGTCAATTGAGTAGATGTAATCAAAGTCAATATATGTGTAAGGTGACCAGGGAAAACAAGTTAGATATATGTGTAAAGTGAACAGAACATCAGTGTAAGGTGACCAGAGGTAACGATAGCCAATATCTGTGTATGATGAACAGAGGTAACCAAAGTCAACACTTGTATTAGGTGACCAGAGGTAACCAAAATCATTTCGCTTCTTTATTATTTATTTTACTTTTTTTACACTGTCATGAAAATGTTTTTTTTAACATAGTGAACATTAAAAAAATTATATTTATATAGTATATGCCAACAATAATAAGCTGTTTTATACTATAAGAACTGATCGTAACTTATTTTCACTTTCAACAGGAAATAATTGTTTATTTTTTGTCGCGTAGAGACATATTTTTAACCGTTTCCATTAGGGTTACCTGTGGGCCTCTTTCAGCGTAACTATTATCCTTGTGCAGTTTGAACACGATAAATGACACAGCCGCCATTTTGAAACAAATCACGATATCGTTGAAACATTCATGATTTTAAATCGAATAGGGACGTATTATGCCAACGAATTAAACTGTTACAAATAGGATGCAGCGCTAGACGTATGTTTCAGATATAACACTATCTAAAGCAGCTAAGTTATAATTTTGTTTAAGGAATTTGTGAAATTGATGTATAAAAAGACTAAGGTTTGTTAGTCTTACAAGACAGTCAACGGGCAGAGGATGAGAAAAGCAGCAATAGTTACAATTGATCGGGAACGTAATTCCATCTAAATTGACACTGTCAGGGTCAACATTTTAAGAAAGATTTATGTTCGAAGACAAAGGAAAGAGCAGTAAAAGTTAGAAACCGGTCAGATTAACGGAAAAATTAAAGCTTTTTGAAGGGCCTATGCAATTTCTATGGGACAAATTTATTAAAAAAGTTGTCGAATTACGACGTCATCGAAGTCCCGTGATGTCTTACTTAATCGGATATGGCCAATACGGCATTATTACGAAGCCTTTATGGATAAAACCAGTCAGACAATAAGAGATAAAGTGTACACAATTAAATGTAAGAACTTATCGACCTTTTACCAGCCGATCTGTACATATACCTTAAGATTTATCGACCCTTATTGTGACTTGTATAGCTGCGTATGTGCAATGAGGACTGCTGCGATTTTAGTTAAACTGAGCATTTGAGGTTTAATTTACTAAAATTGTTTATAAATTGGTTCATACATGTATTTAAAAGTAATGTGTAATTTAATTATGCTCTGTTATATGTCATTAGTCAGTAATAATGGTCCCGGGTATACTTCCATGTCCCTCGGCGACACCTAAGGCTATTATTACAGACATCGGACATATAATAGGGTCATTATGAAAATTCCCGTTTAATAATCAATAATATAGTAATATGACCTTGTATGTTTTTGTCTCACCACTTTGTTAAGTCGGTACGAAATTAATTCTATATTTGCCTTTTGAATCACTCATCATTAAGTATTTTCATCAATTCTGTTTACATCTTGCTCCTCCCACTTCACTCGCATGATATACTCATTGAACAGAGCAAATAAAAGAATATTATACGAACCTTACATGCATGTCGAACAGGAGGAAGTAAATTCAAATTCAATAATACGTGGCATTATCGGATATGTGCATTTAATTACCATATTGCAATCTCATGGAATGATGAAATATTAATTGACTTTAGGGTCAGATTTCACATTGTTATACATGTTAGAAGATACTGTTTGTCAATAGAGATATAAAATTTATAAAATTCGGTGTTACAGAAATTGTCTAAATTTAGAACGATTTAGAGATTAAGATGATATTGAAAATTTATATTACAAAGTGTAAGCTTTCCAAAAAGCTTGCATAACGTCATTTACTTATTTTAGTTCACCTGACCCAGACGGTCAAGTGATATTTTTTTATCACTTGGCGTCTGTCGTCCGTCGTCGTCCTTCGTCTTCCTCCGTCTTTTTCGTCCGATGTTCAAATCTCGTAAATCGATTAGGACGAGAAAACTAAAGGTAAATGTAACAAACAAAAACAGAGTAAATCGCATAAACTTAAAAAGGAGCGATAGGTTAGGCGTCTGCTGCTATGCCTGCATCAACAGCCATGCGAATTCAAACTCAGTCCAAAATTGACAATCGTGGATAGGACACATTCAGTTACAGATCAGAAGATTATACTGGTATCTAAAGATCGAAGACTGTGAAAACATGTAGCTAGTAAATTGGTCACTGACACATCGTATCGGTCAAACCATTCGTTATAGTGACCATACAGTGTCCATTACAGTCGTTCTTCCTCATAACTCTGTTAATGAAGTCCATATAATCTACAATAGCGTATCGTCTTAAGTGGGATTTGTTAAAGCCAAGCGATGGTGCAGAGTGTATGTTATTGATGAGAAATGGGAAATTGACAATCAAATCAATTAAATTGAAATCATCACGTTTGTCATAGATTCTAATATGAAGTCGTCAATCTGTGTCAATATCGAGGAAATTATATCAAGATATGAAGGAAACCTTCTACTTTCGGTGGTAACCGAAATATTAACAGGCTATTGAAACAGTCAATTATATCAGGATATAGGTTATGTTTTATTGAGATGTCATATTTTAAAGATGGTTAGGTGTGATGTCATGCCTTTAAAGTGGTTTCGAATATGTCTGATTTGGACCTTGTAGAAAAAAAGCACTGATATTTATATTTAATCTACATTGTGACTTGGTATAGTTTGAAATAACAAAATGTTTTATATTAAACACTCTTGTGTCAAAATGTTTAAAAGACAATCAATCTGTATTATTAAAAACAATTGATTGATTGATTGTTGTTAATTTAACGTGTAGTGGCACATTTGTCGAGCATATTCATGATGCGAGTTAACAATAAAATCAATTAGTAGGTTCAGTAAATAGACACTTCATGGATGAAAGGCTAGAATTGCATGCTTAATGTATGAAAAGGCTAGAGAGAGTCATTTCCCAATTGATTATATCTCAACAACAAGGACACGGACCTGTATTTTTTTTTTTACTTTTTAGGTTCCCTTATTGATATACTATCAATTTATAATAGTGTTTTAAAAGGCTTGTAATTTTGAAGCAGAGGAGCAAACATACTTAATACAATCTTCCCTGCCAAACAGACAGACATAGGCATAAGCAAGGATTTTTCAATTGAAATAAAAACGTCAAAGGATGACCCTCACTCTATATCCTTGTTAAACTGAATTGCATAATAAATATGGTAAGTACACATTAAACCCTTGCCTTAAAAAATATTTAAATATCTTGAAATGTTTAAGATGCCTACGCCTCAGAAACTAGTTTCTTGTTGATCATATAAAGTTGAATTGATTGATATATACCGTGATTCCAGTCATTCCTACCCTAATGCCGTTTGAGAAAAGCAAAGATCTATACAAAGCTACATTGTGAACGTCAAACTAAAACAATACAAAATCACACAAACTAAAACAAAACAATTACTATTAATAAGAGAATATGGCAAAATCTACAATATTATTTATCATTACAGATACGACCAATAGGTATGTGACTTGCGACATATAGTCATACATACTCCAGAAACCAGTATAATAGTCTTAATAGACAGCCATGGCTGGTTCCAGGAGAGCTCAACCTTAAGAATGCAAAAAAGAGGTGAAACTGTTTATGACAAAATGTGATAGTTTCGCCGATCCTAGGGGGTATCCCATGTCTGCTGCGATCCCCATTGAATCCGGCCTGACAACAATAATGCAAGGACATAATGTTCTATATCATACCGTATCCAAGAATTTACTGCACTTACTCAAGGATATTTCAAACTAATTGGCCTTCAGATATCAAAATTATGCAGCTTTTTCTTTTGCTACACAAGATTGGCAAGACGGACGAAGCAAACTCGTTATAAATTGTCCTAACAATTCATCACTTGTGATGGCTGATGTCAAACAATAACTGTGGAGGAAGACGTTAGTGTCGAAATATTGTCATTTTATTTGCTTCAACATGTCTATTAATAATTGTGTCTGCTTAGCTAAGATTTATATATTAAAAAATGCAAAAACAATAACATTCCAAAAATGATGGCTTTGAAGATTTTTGCAGCCAGCCTTTCAAACGTTTTGCGACAAGTTTGGGGGTATTTCTGATATAATCATAGTAATATATCTATTTCAATAAAACAGAATAAAAGATTAGAATTATGTAAATAGACTATTTAATTAATTGTTTTTGCATTCATGATCTCACCTGGCCCGAAGGCTTTGTGATCTTTGCAATCACTTGGCGTCCGTCGTCTGTCGTTGTCGCTCGTCGTCGTCGTCGTGTGGTATGTCACTTTCTGTTATCATTTACAAAGATCATCTCCTCTGAAACTACTGGATTAAATTTTACCAAACTTAACGACAAATTGGAGTTATTGTCCTTTTCTGACGATGTTTTTTGTGCAGTTTTGCATATTAACTTGCAAATTGACAAATAGAAACTTTTAAAAAAGAAAACTGATCAGCAGGATAAGATCTACAAATATGTCTACATGACTAAAATGGCAAAACTTGGAATGTTTGTAGTTAATTCATCTTTATTTATAAAAAAATATATGTATTCTTTACAATACTGCAATTGGCTGGAATGAAAACTTGAATGTTTTTGAAAAAAAAAATGCATATCATGCTTCACTAACACATTGATACACAGATTAATGTGTTATTTGGCATATTTTTTTACCCTTGAATTTTAAAATCTAAATTTACAATTTGGTATCAAATAGCTACCTTCAGATGTCCACAGGACTTAGTTCTATCTGCTATCAGTATTTTTTTTAAAGTTTTGCTTTACATATTTTCTTAATTATTTATGAATTCAAACATCTTACTTTTATATAAATTAACCCAAAATGCATAGCAAAATACATAGCAAATAAATATATATTGTCTGAATTGTAGTTCTATTGGTTGAAATTGTTTTTATAATGACCTGTTTTATCCATAATGGCTATGTAATAATGCCTTATGGGCCATATCTAACACAGTAACACATCACGTGACTTCGATGACGTGGCAATCCGCCATCTTTATATAATTTGTCTCGTAAAAATTGCATAGGCCCTTTTATACACTTTAATATTTCCGTTAATCCGACCTGGTTTCTTAATTCTGCTGCTCTTTCCTCTGGCCTCGAACGTAAATCTTTCTTAAAATGTTGACCCTGACAGTTTAAATTTAGATAAAATTATGTCCCTGATCAATTGTAAATATTGCCTTTTTTCTCCTCCTCTGTCCGTTGACGGTATTGTAAAACTAACAAACCTTAGTCTACATCAATTTCACAAATTCCTTAAACAAAAGTATAACTTTGCTGCTATAGTGTTATTTCTAAAACATACGTCTAACGCTGCATCCTATTTTTAACATTTTAATTCGTTGGCATACTACGTCCCTATTCGATTTGAAATAATGAATTTTTCAACGATGTCGGAAATTTTCAAAATGGCGGCTGTGTCATTTATAATGTTCATAATAAGTCTTCAGATAAATTTGATGTTCTCATTATTTATTTGACAAATTATGAAGGTTGCATGTTTTGACCATGATTATTTCTATATTAAATTTTTCGATGCAAAAATAATTTTGTTACAGTCCATACATATCATTACATCGGTATTAAAATACAGAAAGGCACACGCATATATATATATACATATATATATATATATACATGTGTATGTATGTCTCTGAGAAAAGTAAAACACCAGGTAATCCTGACAAGTTACAGACAGGTAGATACAAGTCTACAATTACTCAGGTATTACATAAGAAACGTATCCCAAACCAAATTACCAATACTTGTTAAAATCATCCCCTGTACAAAGTTATTTCCAGAGTTTTAAAGTAAGAAATGACATATTGTGCCCCAGGAAATTCTTCAAAATATCAAATTATAACTAAACATTGGATAAAATATCAGAACAATAATATTGAAAAAAACAAATTTATATTTTCAGCTTCTTGATATTTTAACATAGTTATTCTTTATAAATTATTGTAACGTGACCGAGGGAGTAACGACAATGACACAGACAGAGGGACATAACCATACTATGGCACGACAATGTCTCCTGTGGTAAATCCCATAAACTAAATAAAATGGTATCTATTTACAAGTTTATTCACAAATACACATACTTCAAACGTATTGACTAAGTACGATTACAAAGTTTAAACAAATAAACTTCAAATATAATCTTAACTGATTCATGACTTAATGGAAAATCACATCCTTACTGTATCACAGCTGATACACCATCTGCCAGTATCTTGACCAAGTGACCTTTATCAAAAAGTTTAATTACTTTCACTCTAGACAAAACAAATAGGCATAACTAAATGTTAATACTCTACACCCCAAGACATCGTTACTTGTCTTAATTACATCTGACAGTTCAACTTTAACTGCAGATAAATAAAAAAATAATTTTCTCTTTACACCAATAAAGTTATAGACAAATTAACCACAGGTCAATATTTACAAAACATTCAAATACTTCATTTTTATATCAATTGTAAAGTACATAATTTGTTTTAATTTTCTGTTTGTAAAATTTGTCAATTGATCAAAAAAGATCAAGC